AACTGGCCTATTGTGACTTTTTTTTGTCTCTGCCCCTTTTTAAGCAAATGTGTTACATGGGCAGTTTTGCAAACCTCTGGGACTTCAGGAATCTAAAAATTCTTAGAAGATTATTATTATGAGACCAAAGGACATCAGAGCAGATGCAGGGAATTCACCCTTTGAGTCTGTTCTGCCATTCAGTGTGATCATGGCTGATCTGATAATCTTCAACACCACTTTCTTGCCTTTGCCCCATAGCCCTTGATTCCCTTACTGATTAAAAATCAGCCTATCTCAGCCTGAATATATTTGATAACCTAGCCTCTACAGCCCTCTGTGGTAAAGAATTCCACAGATTCACTGCTCTCGGAGAGAAAAAAAATCCTCATCTCTGTCTTAAAAAGACGTCTCCTTATTCTGAGATTTTGCCATTGCCTCCACTATCTCAGTAGCTTATTGGCTTTTAGCCCTCTTAGTTTCAGCAGCACTTTTTTCCTCTTGTGATAGTTATTGAACCTGTATCCTCTTCTCCTTTAGCACCTTGATTATTTCATAATTTTGGAATGCCGTTATGTCTTCTATTGTGAAGACTTCTGAAAAATCTTTATTCAATGTCACTGCTATTTCCTGGTTCCCCATTATTGTTCCCCTACCCTCCTTCTCGGAGGGTTAGACATTGACTTTGGCTTCTGTCTCCCCTTTTATACAAGAAACTCTTATTGTCCACCTTGATATTTCTTGCAAGATTAGCTTCAAAGTGTATCTTCTCCCCTTTTTGTTATCAATATGGGTTTTTTTTTATCTCTCGGTTTTTAAAATATTCCAAATTTTCTGTCTTACCACGAAACTTTGCCTCATCATATGCTTTTGGTTTTGATTTGATGCTATCCCTAACTTCCCTGGTTAACCATGGTTAGCTTATCCTTTTCCTAGAATCCTCAAATCCACCATGGCAGATGGTGAAACTTCATAGAATCCCGACAGGGAAGAAAGAGGCCATTTGACCCATTGAGTCTGTACTGATCCTCCAAACAGCATCCCACCCTATCCCCATAGCCCTGCATTTCCCGTGGCTAATCCACCCAGCCTGCACATCCCTGGACACTATGGAGGAATTTAGCATGGTCAAGCTACCTAGCCCCCCTTTCTTTGGACTGTGGGAGGAACCCAGAGCACCCAGTGGAAACCCACGCAGACATAGGGGAGAATGTGCAAATTTCACAAAGACAGTCAACCAAGGCTGGGAGGCAGCAGTGATAACCAATGTGCCACCGTGCCAACTTGGCCTTAAATCTGTCACCCATGTAACCACTGATGAGTGTCAAAAAAAGCAAGGAAACTTGCCATCCTTACCCAAGCTGAAACAGCCATCAAGGCACTCTGTTCTATCAAACCATTACAAAGTCTTAGGGAAGAAATGAAACTAGACCAACCACCTGCCATCAAACTTGGCACCATAAGGGCAAACACAGAACTGCCAATCTTGCAATGTTCTCCTCACTAACATCTGGGGTTAGTGCTACAATTGGGAGAGCTGTCTCACAGATCTGTTAAAGCAATAGCCTGACATTGCCATACTCATGGAATCCTGCCTTAAACACACCATCACCAGCCTTGGATGTCCTTTCTCACCAGCAGGTCAAACCCACCAGAGGTAGTGGCACAGCGGTGTACAGTTGGATGGAACTACCTTGGGATTCAAGACCCCATGAAATCTCACAGCATCAGGTCAACTGTGAGCAAGGAAATCTCCTGGTGATTACCACCTACAGGACCCCAAACATCCCCCACCCCGAACCCTCAGCTGATGAATCAGTGTTTCTCCATGTTAAACAGTACTTGGATGTTGGCCTGAGGGTAGCAAGGGCACAGAATGTACTCTGGGTGGGGGACTTCAATGTCCATCACCCAAAATGACTCAGCAGCAGTAATACTGATCAAGCTGGCTGGATCTTAAATGACATAACTGCTCGACTGGGTCTGCAGTAGTTGGTGAGGGAACCAATATGAGGGAAAAACTTATCTGCATTTGTCTATGACAGTTCTGGCAGGAATTTGCACTGCTTAGTCCTTGTAGAGATAATACTTTTATTTCTTTCAACACTGATGCTCAGTGACAGAAGTGTATACAATCTACAAGATGCATTGCTGCAACTCACCAAACTTCTCTGGAAGCAAACTCCAAACCCGCTGTCTCTATGACCCAGAGACAAGACTAACACGTGCATCGAAATACCATCACCCGCAATTTCCCCTCAAATTCACACACCGTCCTGACTTGAGGCTGTATCTCTGCTCCTTCACTCTCACTGGAACAAAATCCTGGAACTCCCTCCCTAACTGCACCTTGGGTTTCCCTAGACTACAAGGGCGGCAGCAATTCAAGAAGGAAGCTCACCACGACCTTCTCCAGGGCAATTAGGGATGGACAATAAACGCTAACCTAACCAGTAATGCCCACCTCCCGTGAGCAAATTTTAAAAAAGTACCGTCTGACTTACATTTCAGGAATTTGCGTCATCTAGTTTTTTGATGAAAGAGAGGAGAATTGGAAGTGGAGTATGAATAAGGCAAGTTAGGGCTTTAAATACATACAAATGCATGGAAATAAGGTTGGCACCACTCAATGGTAACATTGTGAAGTTGCTAGTTAAAGGGGAAAAACAGGAAACTTCTTCTTGATGTCCAGAATCTGATGTTTTCATTCTCACTGTATTTTCCCACTGATCTCACCATTGCTCACACCACAGCAGGGAGGCAAAAATTCCATCCAGTAATATTACCCATGACTTGACAAATGTAGGAGATGGATTCTACAGCATAGAAACAGGCTACTTTGTCCTTTGAACTAAGCTAGTGTTAAACTGCACACAATCTTCCTCTCATTCTAGTGTTCCTTCTAATCAGGCCATTCAGCCCATCGAGTCTACATCGACTCCCCACAGTGCATCCCACCCTGACCCAGCCCCCTACCCAATCTATATAACCCTTCATTCCCAATGGCTAATCCACTTAACCTATGCGCAATTTAGTATGGCCATACCACCTAACCTGCACATCTTTGGACTGTGGGAGGAAACCAGAGCATCTGGAGGAAACCCACTCAGACACAGGGAGAATGTGCAAACTCTACACAGACAGGTGCCCAAGGTTGGAACTGAACCCGGGTCTCTGGCGCTGTGAGGCAGCAGTGCTAACCACTGAGACACTGTGCCACCCCAGTAAGCCTGTCCCTGAAATCTCTCTACTCCCTTCTCCCTTATATATATTATTCTGTCCATATTTGTTACTTATTAACGAGGAGATTTTGACACCCCCTGGTGAAAACAGAGCAGCGGTGGAGTTAAAATGGAGAAGTCGGATTTAACAGGACGTCCCTGTGTCTCCCAGCAACTGCCCCAGGGTATTCCTTGGGGTGGGTGGGGCACCTGCCTAAGTTAGGTGGCAGCCCCATTACCATCTGCCAGTTGGGGTCCTCAGGCACACACAGACTCTTTAGACGGTTTGTGAGCAGGAGTGGGAGTTAGATGTGGCCGCTGCATGCAATGAACCCAAATGGAATAGCGGAAGGCAAGTGCTACAATTACCTTTGTGTGGTCAAGGAGAGCAGAAACGTTCCTCCAGAATGATGAGGGCAACCGCTGGCCCAAGTCACCCCTTGCTGCTTTGTTTTAGTCAATCACAGGGTGAGAGCAGCGCTGGCCAGGCCAGCATTTATTGCCCATCCCTAATTGCCCAGAGCACAGTTATGAATCAACCACATTGCTGTGCGTCTGGAGTCACAAGGACAGGTGCTACATTCCCTAAAAGACACTGGGGAACAGATGGGCTTTTCCTGATAATGGAAAACAGTTTTATGATCATTGTTGACTTTTAATTCCAGGCTTTTTAAAAATTTAAATCAAATTGCACCATGGTACAATTTGAATCCAGGTCCCTGGGAACATGTCCTGGGTGTCTGGATTAACAGTCTACCAATGATACCACTAGGCTATCAGCTCCCTCACGGTTTCTGTCCTACTTTCCCCCAGCTGGATTGGCTTCCACGTTCCCCAAGATCAACAGCAACCTAGCTCCAAGATGAACCCATGAGAAACACGCTCATTAATGAGGTTCTGGTTAGGAACTGGGTACTAATGGGTAGCCAGCATCTTGATCCACTGGTCTAATCATTAAAATTAAAACTCAATGCGAGATGAAACATGAGCAGTTTTGGTGTGATTCATTGGATAAGTGTAATTCTGCCCTCTTTGTAGGCCTGGGCTTGCTGACAATCATTCTCTTTCCTTTCCATTCCTGTTTCACTATTGACAAAGGGCTGATTATAGCTTCTATCCCACTAACCTGAGGTTTGCTGCAGCCTCCAGGATTTGGTCTTAAATCTGCTCTGTCAGCATCAATTTGACAGTGCAGATAAATCACTCAAGTGTGTTCAAATGTATCTGTCAGAGACACCTGCATTCACACCATCGCACTGATGTGCGTCTGAGCAGTTTGTAGACATGCATGGTCCCCCACGCTGGACTAGAGTGCTCTCCAGAAAAGGTCGGTTTTATCTCAGTGGTGACTCTTGCCTCTGAGCTATAAGGTTACGGGGTCAGGTCCCACACTCAAGAAATATGAGGTCCAAATCTAGACTAACGTTTCAGGGCTATGTAGTGGAGATGCTGCACAATCAGAGGGACCGTCTTTCAGCAGGGATGTGGAACTTCTCAGCCTAATGCAAAAGATCCTGTGACACTATTTAAAGATCAGCAGAGTTCTGCCTGGAGTCTCTCACCCAATATTAGGGAAACTAATTATCTGGTCATTGCCCTACGTTATTTGAGGGATCTTGCTGTGTGCTAATTAACTCAGCTCTAAGTCATAAAAGGGAGTGCACTCCAAAAGCACTTAACCGTTTTAAGGCAGTTTGGGATGTCTGAGATTACAAAAGCTGCTAAATAAATGCAAAGGTCTTTCTTTCGTTCCATTCTGCAGTACAGGAGGCAAAAGGCTGTTAAAAAAAGATGACTTACTCAGTCTCCCTCCTTTGTGCTTTATCAGGGAGTAGCAGGAACCAGCCTTCTTTCTGCTGAATCGTCAGGAGCTTGTTAATGTTGAATGCCACCTCGAGAGCAAAAGAAACAACAGATGATGAGACGATGAGGTGCAGTCCAGTGACCTAAGGCTATAGCTCTTCAACTTGGAATGACACAGAAAGAGTGTGGAAAGCCAACACCTTCCCAAGTTCCCAAACGATAGGACAAATCCCACCCTAGCAGATTGAAAATTTTAATACTGACTCAAATGTTTCCCCTGTGTTTTTAGGAAGGGCAACTGTCCATTAATTGGTGTGGCCCCTGTATGAATCCAGTCCCACTTCAACAGAGATGAATCTCAGCTGCTCTATTGTATCACAGTACTGCAAGGGAAACTCAGGACAGTGACAAAATCTGGACTTGTCACTAACCACCTAAACCCAAAAATTGAGAATAAAACATGCATTTTTAACTGCAATCCTGTTATAGAGACTCCTGGCTTTCATGATTAAATATATACAATATAATTGAGGTTATTTTTCTTAATATTTTATTTCACAGATTTGGACAAGATTAAAAGACAATTTTGACCCTGCCATGATGTGTCTGTCCATGTTTGAACTCCCCACCTCCGTCAGCTTTCTGCCTCCACTAAAGTACCAAGCAGTTTTTATCAACCATATAAAGTGCATTCTATGTGACAGTGGACAAAGTGAATCTCCCTCTCTATCCTTCCCGAGCTACCTGCAGCACTTGACATGATAGACTGCACCTCCTCCAAGGTCTCTCGACTGTCAGATGCCTGGATAAGACTGGAAAAAAAACCTGAAAGAACTGTGGATGCTGAATCAGAAACAAAAGGAGAAATAGCTGGAAAAGCTCAGCAGGTCTGGTAGCATTTGTGGAGAGATGTCAGAGTTAACGCTTCGGGTTAAGTGACCCTTCCTCAGAACTGAGGACCTGACCTGAAACATTAACTGTGATTTCTCTCCATAGATGCCGCCAGACCTGCCGGGCTTTCCCAGCAATTTCTGTTTTTGTACCTGGACAAGACGGCTCCTACCTGGCTCTCTCTTTGATCTATCCACCCCCATCACTTGAAAAGGCTTCTCTGCCTAATCCCACACAGTTACTTCAGGTATCCCACAGGAATCTGACTTCAGCTCTGTTTTGTTTCTCATCTACAAGCTGCCCCTCAGGAACACCCTCCAAAAGCAGAGCTTTAGTTTAAACATATATGCTTAAAAGAACCAAGCCCCATCTCACAATCACCTCGCTCAACTATTCCACTGTTGCTAAAGTATCAGCCTGCTTATCTGACAAGAACCTTCTTCTATTTAAATTTTGGGAAGGCTGAACTCCTGACTGGTCTCCCACATTCTACCTTTCATAAATCTGGGGCATCTGAATCCCCAGTTCCCGTGTCTCAACTTGCAGGGAGCCTATCATCCATTGTCAACTGATCTAAACAGGTTAAGCAACATTTTGACTTTATAATTTCCAGCATTGTTTCAAAGCCTTTATGGCTTTGCTCCTCCCTAGCCCTGTCATAACTCCACCCCAATAACTCTCCAAACTCTGAACTCATCCAGTTCTGGATTCTTCAGCATCCCTGATTTTAACTGTGCCTTTGTCACCCAGGCCCAGTGCTCCGGAATTCCTTTTCTACACTTCTCTGTCTCTCTACTTTACTTTCTTTCTTTAAAATGCAGCTCAAAAACTACCTCCATCACATCTGAGATAGTAGGAACTGCCAATGCTAGAGAATCTGAGACAACAGGGTGTAGAGCTGGATGAACACAGCAGGCCAAGCAGCATCAGAGGAGCAGGAAAGCTGACGTTTTGCGTCTGGACCCTTCTTCAGAAATGGGGGAGGAGAAGGGGATTCTGAAATAAATACAGAGAGAGAGAGAGGCGGATGGAGATGGATAAAGGAGCAGATAGGTGGAGAGGAGATGGACAGGTCAAGGAGGCTGGGATGGAGCCAGTAAAAGTGAGTGTAGGTGGGGAGTTAGGGTGGGGGTTGGTCAGTCCAGGGAAGACGGACAGGTCAAGGAGGCGGGGATGAGGCTGGTAGGTAGGTGGTGGGGGTGGGGGTTGAGGTGGGAGGAGTGGATAGGTGGGAGAAAGGACGGACAGGTTAGGGAGGCGGGGACAAGCTGGACTGGTTTTGGGATGCGGTCGGGGGTGGGGAGATTTTGAAGCTTGTGAAGTCCACATTGATACCATTGGGCTGCAGGATTCCCAAGCGAAATATGAGGTGCTGTTCCTGCAACCTTCGGGTGGCATCGTTGTGGCACTGGAGGAGGCCCAGGATGGACATGTCATCCAAGGAGTGGGAGGGGGAGTTGAAGTGGTTTGCGATTGGGAGGTGCAGTCGTTTGTCGCGAACCAAACGTAGGTGTTCCACAAAGTGGTCTCCAAGCGTCCGCTTGGTTTCCCCAATGTAGAGGAGGCCACATCTGGAACAGCAGATACAGTATACCACATTAGCAGATGTGCAGGTGAACATCTGCTTGATGTGGAAGGTCTTCTTGGGGTCTGGGATGGGGGCGAGGGGGGAGGTGTAGGGGCAGGTGTAGCACTTCCTGCGGTTGCAGGGAAAAGTGCCAGGTGTGGTGGGGCTGGAGGGGAGTGTGGAGCGGGCAAGGGAGTCACGGAGAGAGTGGTCCCTCTGGAAAGCAGATAAGGGTGGGGAGGGAAAGATGTCTTTGGTGGTGGGGTCGGATTGCAGATGGCGGAAGTGTCGGAGGATGATGCGTTGGATCCGGAGGTTGGTGGGGTGGTACGTGAGGACGAGGGGGATTCTGTTTTGGTTGTTATTGCACATCTGACATCTCTTCATGTGACACAATGTTTGGTTTATCACATTCCCCTGAAGCAAATCATATTTAATGGGCTTATATAAATATAAATTGCTGTTGTAATCCAAAATAAACCGGAGAAGCTTTTTGAAAACAGACTTATTTTCTAAGAGCAGCAGTAAGTGATTTCTGCAATATAATCATGAGGTTGAGTTATTATAATATTTATCAACTTTGTCTGACCTTTTATTAAAGTACAACCTGCAGTTTGACCAATGTATGCGCTATTCTTTATAGAGGCCATTAATGTTCATCTTATAAATTCTGCCAATCATACCATTTATGAGTCACCAGATGCCAAGTTTACAAGTGATTGATACCACTCAGTGATTGAAATAACTTAAATGCTAATGAAAGTTCACATATAAACATTAATCTATTTACCTCCGGGCACTAATGAGTCAGCTATGCATTTCCATCATTTTGTTTGAGATTTCTGCAATTTGTGTGTTCCTTTTTACTAATCTTTGCAATGTAACTATTGCTATGAATATCAATTCAGGTCCTGTCTGGACAATTGCACAGTTCCCTACATTACAACAGTGACTGAATTTCAAAAGTGCTTCATTGGCTATAAAATGCTTTTGTCGTGTCCCTGAGTTGGTGAAAGATGCTTTATAAATGGAAGTTTTACGTACTATTTTCCCTCAGGAGACAACATCTTCGACCTGTTTGTTTCCTCTCCACCTATCCTCTCCTCTATCCCTCTTCTATCCGCCTCCCACTCTCTCCCTATTTATTTCAAAACCCCCTTCCCCTCCCCCTTTTCTGATGAAGGGTCTAGGCCCGAAACGTCAGCCTCTCTGCTCCTATGATGCTGCTTGGCCTGCTGTGTTCATCCAGCCCTGCACCTTGTTGTCTCGGATTCTCCAGCATCTGCAGTTCCTACTATCTCTGATTCGATTTTAACCCATAATTACAACTGATTTGTGGAAAGAACGTCCTTGATGTGCCGAATAGGTTTTGATTTTGATTCCTTAAGGCATTTTGTCACCTTAAAAATGCAGCCAAATATTGTGTGATGGACTCTTATATGCTGACCAAGAGGAGCGCTGCCATATTTATTACAGTGAAATTTCCAAGAGGCATTTAGAACAGATTAGAAGGCAAAACAGATGATCCCATGGGGGATGGGCAGAAGATATTGGTCAAGGACAGCACCACCTTAGAGAAGAGTACAACTGAGTCTGAGTTCATTTGCCTTGGGTGGGTCTGTTTAGTTTCCCTGAGAGGAGTTCAGGGCTGACCGCCTGCTAGCAGTAAGACCCAGTGCAGCTGCAAAACATTTGCAATCTCCCTAAACTGCTCTGCCCAGGCACAGTGCCAATGGGCCATCGATAAAATGCAACGGAAACATTCCAGGATCTATAACAATCCATGCTAATCAATGGGATGCGACTGATCTTCAGGAGAAGACGGTTGTGGCCTACATAGTCTGAGAAAGAAAAGACCAAGGCAGCTGGGTTGGGGAGCAGAACCGTGAGGAATCTGGAAGGGTGGGCCTTTTGTTGGGGGAGACGGTAACAATGGAACTGAGGAGGAGTAAAACTGAAGTCTGATGGGACTCGGCACTAAGGCCTCAAAGTGAAGAGGCTAGAATTTGGCCTGAGAAAGTTCAGAGTTTTGGAATTGGTGCCACATTGTTGCAGCAAGGAGTTTGAACTCCCCTGATAATTAAACTGTAACACAAGCCCCCAGTCTGTTCTAAGACAACAAGGTGTAGAGCTGGATGAACACAGCAGGCCAAGCAGCATCAGAGGAGCAGGAAAGCTGATGTTTCGGGTCGAGACCCTTCTTCCTGCCAGTCTGTTCTGGCAGGAGTAAAGCTTCCCTTCTAATAATTAAACCTGAAACACCCAGAGGAGTTCGCCTCGCCTTTATAATCTGTTAAAAATTGTGGTTAAATGAAAGAAAATCCCTGATAGTCACTTTATAAGTAACAAATAACTTTTTTATTTAACAGTGAACAAATTAACAGAATTACTAACAAACTGAACAAATCCCTCTAAACTAGTAATTATTCCCTAACTGAACTAAATTCTACTGGTATGCTGTTCCAATAAACACAAGGCACACTTATATATAAATAAATAAAGAAAATAAATTAAAACTTAGTCTCTCAAAGTCTACATGCCTTTCTTCTGCTGTTCTCAAGTCGTAAACATCTTTCTTCCGCTGATCCAGCTGTCAGGGAAATTTTCTCTGTAAAGTCTTCTGTGAGGGCTCTTAGCTAGAAGTGCTGTGGCACCTTTTATGGACGGATGGTGCTTTCTAAGAGAGTTTAGCGATTTCTTGTGAGAACTAGGTGCTTATTTCTCAGATGGCGGATCGTTCTCACACTGATTTTCAAAAACCCTCTCCTTATATAGCTTGGATTACATATCAATTTTCTTACAGTAGCATTGGTCCGAGTTTGTCAAAACCATCAGAATTAAATTCAATTAGCTTTCAATCACTGAGTGTTTGGTTTAAATTAATTGGCAGATTGTTGCGAGTTGCTAAAACATCGAAACAAGCCTAAGGTTTCCAATCACACAGCCAATTGATACATGTTTCCATTTCAGAACTGACTGTACATCTTCGGCTACATACAGACACATCATTTTTTCTGTATAATTCTCTAAGCTTGGAAAAGCACTTTACTCTTAAAGGAACCACACACTCTTCTCCCTTATATTTTTTTACAAACAAATTCTAGCTTCCTGCCTTCCAATTCACAATTACTCTACACAACTTCATAACAATATTTACCAGCTAAATGGGCAGCTTAGTAAACCTGTCAGATCTATCCTGTTCTATCCGCTAGTTAAAGTGTAATTTATAGTTTATATCATATGCAATTTGTCTGTCAGATCATTAGGTCACTTTTAATCTATGTTAACTTTGGTTTGATTTTTGAAGTTGCAAAACATGCAATCTTGTTGCCTTTCACTGCGATCATTCCATAATTCAGTTTTTTCAGTGTTGCTCTCCATCAAGATTACATCAATAGAGATCATGGGCCTCGATTTCCTACTGGCCAGCCAGTCATTATCCCAGCACAGATGATCGGATAATCTGTTTTTGTGACGTTGAGTGAGGGATGAATGTTGACCCGGACATGGGGATTACGCACCTTGGGAAGACTGCAGAATCGCCACTGGAGCAGACTCAGAAGGAATTGACTCGATCCCCTTCCGGTTGCTCTGCACTCAATCCCCTTCCCCCTGCTCTGCACTCAATCCCCTTTCCCCGTCTGCACTCGATCCACTTTCCCCATTCTACACCCAATCACCATTCCCCTTCTCTGCACTCAATACCTTTTTCCTTGTTTTGAACTTGATCCCCTTTCTCCCACTCTGTACTCAATCTCCTTCTCTGCATCCGATCCCCTTTCCCCAGTTCCTTGCCCGATCCCCTTTGCCCTGCTTCACACCTGACCTCCCCAGACCCGATTGCCACTCCTCCTTTCTCCAAATTCAGGCTGACTAGGACTGACCTTCTTTCCCCCCAACAATTTGCTTCCCACATCCGATCCCTCCTGACATGACTGGCACACCGCACACCCTTCCCACTTGACATCTTACTCCAAACTCAGCTGGCACCGTACTTACCTGGCATCCCACCCCATTCATCTGGCATCTTATCCCCTAGTCCCTTGCTCCTATTTTCCTTTCCACGTGGTACTGTACCCCTACCTGTCTGGTATCCTGACCCCAGCACCCTAGCCACTAATGTATGGTACTCTACCTACCTGCACCCCACCCTCATCTGGCACTTTACCATCACACTTACATTACTGTCTTACTGTGTAATAGCAGCTGTCAAAGAAGCTGCCTGGTTGACCTTCTCCTGATGCATTCACTTCGAAAGAACTGTCAGAACGGAAGTAGGCTTCACATTTTTGAGGGAGCCCTGGTCAGAATCTCCTATCAGAAGCTGCATGAGCTTGTCCTTCCTCTGAAAATCTGGTGGACTGTTTCTGCTTAGTTAATCTCCTGAACTGTAACTGAGCTAAAAGTCAGGGGAACCATCAGAGACCCACAGGTCAGTCTCATTAGGTTCAAGATGGTGGCTGTTTGAAGTCCAGGTGGAGAGACAATCTCTGTGTGTTGGACTCTGTTTTGCTGCAGTCCATGACAGATACCTGGAGAGAACAGTTTCTCAGGTAACTCCCTTTAAAGCCGAGAGCCAGAAGTAAAAGCATCTTCACTGCTGATCGTGCAACTTAAGTCCAAACCATTATCCCTATTCTCTGGTCAGTTATTATTCAGGTATCAGGCTTGGCTCAATAATAGTTCCCTCAAACTCTGAGGCAGGAGATTATGGGTTCAATTTGGGACATAATCCTGTCTGATATTGCAACTCAAAAATGAAGGGAGGTGGGGGAGGGGTCTGCACTTTCAGATGCCTCATCAACTGTCTCTGGTGGACATAAGACATGCCACTATTTCAATACAGACAAGGTGCGTAATCCCCATGTCCGGGTCAACATTCATCCCTCACTCAACATCACAAAAACAGATTATCTGATCATCATCACATTCTACACGCAGGATGTTTCTGTGGGCAATTTGGCTAACCCACTGACTGTGAAGAGCTTTTGGACATCCTATGAGTGTGAAATACATAAACACAGGACTTTTCCTGAGTGTGAAAGGGATTGTGTTAGCTGCAATATAACTGGAAACAACCAAAAGCTACAAGCCAGGTATTGATCAAGGTGTTACCTACCTTTCCCAGGAAATCATTTTTGCTGACCAAGTCCCAGTCCCAGACCTCCACATGCAATGTGTTCTCTGCCCCTGTGTCATCCAGGACAAACTCAAATACCTCATTCCAGCGGGGGTAACAGGATTTCTTCACAACCTACATCAAGAGATCTCAGTATGAACAGTTTTCACTCAATTTTAACAAAATCCACTCACTGCTGTTAATCCAAGTATTAAAAGCAACGAGGTATGCAAGCAATAATGACAATCAAGCTGACAGTTATGTTGCTAGATGCTCTATTAATCACTAACTGAAGGGTGTTGGAGGGAGAATTTCTTCTGAGGTAGTGCGGAGCCTTGCTAAATGCAAGTACAGGTCAGAGGCAGCATTATTAGGACAATGGCTCAAATGTCTGGCCTGTACCCAACTTTCTTGAGACTTTACACCATAATGGAGCTTTCCAAAATTCTTCTAGTGTTAAACACACTAGAAATGCTGTTCATTCAGGTGCATTAAAAAAAATCAGATTTCAATCAAGTCAAACTGATCAAATGAAAATCTACCTTGTCTGCCAGTGGAACTGAATTTGGAGATCTCCAGGCTGGCTAGCAGTCAATACTACCCCATGGTAAGAAACTATTCAATTCAGTAGACATTGTAGTGAATTAATGGTCTTACTAGGAGGGCTGATGTGGGAAATGGAACTACTGTATTTATAGCAGTTTAATTTATGTTCTACAAAGAGTCTGATAAATCGCAATAAAGGAGGAAAGCCCAAACTGCGATAACACAGTGTGGAGCTGGAGGAACACAGCAGGCCAGGCAGCATCAGAGGAGCAGGAAAGTCGGGACCCTTCTTCAGTACAGTATTTCATCTCTCTCTGGTAGCGCAGTTCATTACATATTCACTCTAAAATATAAAGGTTAAAATGGGAGGAAAAAACATACAATGCCACAGAATGATTAACAATGGCATTATGATTTGCACTACCATAGTTAATAGCAAGGATGGGCCAATGGTGCCATCAAAATGGCCTCATCTTATAACAAATTTGGTTTGTTAAGGGTATAAGTCATGAGGCTTGTATTTAACTTCTCAGCTCCCTGTTTGGGTACACTGATAAAGCAGTGGTTGAAAAATCCAACAGAGATCAGATTTCCCAATTCCAAGGCTGACAAGCCTCCAGGATCGGGTGGAATGAAAGAGTCATCTCATTCACACTATAGTGAGCAATCTCCAGAAGTAACCATCATTGAGGCATTGAAAGAAATTTATTTTCTCACTTTTTCTTTGAACACATTTGTTTGTCAGCTCTAAAACTGCAAGACAAGGTGTGTGACTGGGACAGGTTCAGTGATCGGAGGTGGGAGATCACGTGAGGAGACTTCCAGGAGATTGTCCGCATTCCTGCCTCATTTTGATGTACCCATCTTGTCAGAGACTGCTCATAGGTGGAGATGTACGGCATGCAACTTCATAAATTTTGTAAATTTTTGACCGTCCCTTGTGACGTTCCCCTTTAATTATCCATGTTTCTTTATGACTGAATTGTACACTGTTTTGCTCTCCTACTGATGGTGTCAATTGAGTTTACCCCTGGAACTGTGCACATTATTTCACAGGGATAAGTACAGTGTGGACTTCTCCTGAGAGTTATTTTATCTAACTAATAAAGCAAGTTTTAAAGAAGAAGCTCCAATTTTAATAACTATTATAAATCTCTGAATCATATGAGTCATGGCTCAGGCTGAATCAATTAATGTGGTTCCAAAATGATAAAAAAAAGACCATAATTTGGACAGAAGAGGCCAATTTCTGTAAATTTATTAATGCTTCAATCAATGCCTTGTATATAGAACATTATCCTTGTGTTTAAACCCCTTCGGGGCCCTGCTCTGCCCCACCTCTGTAACCCTCTCCAACCCTGCAGCGTTCTGAGAACTAGCTTTTCCGAGTTATGTTCTTCTGACTCTGGCCACTTGTAAATCCCCCAATTACCTGTCATGGGAAGAGGACTCATAATCTAGGAATCAATGATAGATTTTCTGAAACTTACATTGTTTGGAGTGTGGCAGTCAGTACCAATGTAGGTGTAAGGACCAATGAAGACTTCACCTGATGAAGGAGCAGCACTCTAAATGCTAGTGATTTCAAATAAACCTGTTGGACTATAACCTGGTGTCGTGTGACTTCAGACTTTGAAAATACCAACAGATCTCCTCTCAGCCTTCTTCTCTCCAAGGAAAACAGTCTAAACTTCTCCAATCTACCGTAGAATCAATCTTATAAAGCTGTTCTGCATGCTCTCCAATGTATTCACATCCTTCCTAAAGTGTACTCCTCAGAATGGTACATAATACTCCAGCCGAGGTATAACTTGTGTCTTATATAGGTTCATCACCACATTCTTTAATCTTGTACTTTATTCCCCTATGAGTAAAGATGAGGATACTTATTTTATTGACTTCTCACTCCAACTGCACTGGTACCTTTAATGACTTACACACATATACACCCAGGTCCTTTTGCATTCTTTCAATCCTTTATTTTATCCTATATCCCCATTTCTTTTCTCCATTTTGAACTTCATCTGCCACCTACCTACCCACTGCACCAACCTGTTACTTTTTTTTGTAGTTTTACACTGCATTCCTCACAGTTTACAATGCTTCCAGGTTTTGTATCATTCACCATCTGGGAAATTGTCCCTGCACTCCAAGACCTTGATGGGGGATGCCACACAAACCTTTCTTACCCTTGAAAAATGTCCATTAACTATTACTCCCCATCTTCTATCCTTTGGCCAATTCTGTATTTCCAATTGAAACTGTCTCATTTGTTCCAAAACTTATAACTTATCTCACAAGTCTGTTGTGTGGCACTTATAAGATCCCGAATGGTCTTGACAGGGTGGATGAGCAAAGATTGCTTCGTCTTGTGCAAGAATGACTAGGGATCATTGTCACAAAATAAGAGGTCGCACAGAGATGTTTTTTTTGCACACAGGGGACTGTGAGCCGTTGAAATTCTGTTCCTCAAAAGTGGGTGGAAGCAAAGTCTTTGAATACTTTTATGGTAGACGTAGACAGATTTGATAAACCAGGGATGGAAGATTATCATGGATAGTTGGGAATGTTGAATAATTAGATCTGCACAATTTTAATCTTCTTTAAAACAACGGAAACATTTTTTGAAAAAACAATTAACCTATTTTTCTAATCAAACTGTTCAGAGATGTTATTACACACCTCCACAGTGGGTGGGACTTGAATCCAGGCCTCCCAGTCCAGGGGTAGGGACACTACTACTGCACCACAAGAGAGTCCCCCAACATGATTTTATTGAATGGTGGCGAAGGCCCCTTTTGCATATTATGTTTAAATTGTCTGCTGGTTAAATAACATGATTAGATTAGAGTCAGAACAATTCCCCACACCTCACTCAATGATGAAACCAGGAAATTGAAATGCGAATTACTAGCACCTTTTGACGGGTATTAGTCAGTTCTGAATTAGCACAGAAGGGAGAGATTGGACTCACAGAGCTTTCTTGGGTTTTCCCATTGTATTGCACTCTGACAAAGGGATCTGATGCTCCATTTAGATCTTTTCGAGCCAGGTCTCTGAAAAGGAAAAGAAACACTTTGCATTTATATAGCACCTTTCACACCACACGGCCTCCCCAAAGTGCTCTTCAGACAAACTGCAGTGAAGTCTGTGGCATTGCTGTGAGTTTGGAGAAAGGTCACATGTTTATTTTATAACAAGGACTGATGCAAAATAAATGGAAGTGAAGGAAGTGTCTGAAAACCTGAAGTAACTCTGAAATGGCCCTTGGGGAGAAGATATAAAAGTTTGAAAACATGTACCAACAGATTCAAGAACAGCTTCTTCCCCTCTGTTATCAGACTTTTGAACGGGCTTCACATATATTACAGTTGATCCTCCTCCGCATGTTCTCTGTAACTGTAACATTATAGTCTGCATTCTGTTCTATTACCCTGATGTACTAATGTAAGGTATGATTTGCCTGGATAGCACGCAAACTGATACTTTTCTTGGTACATGTGACAATAATAAGTCAAATCAAAATCAAATATCACCAATTGCAACATTATCATCAAGAAATCAGCTCTTTTGTACAAGACACAAATTGAAATACCTACTGGGTTGCATATCAAAACACATAATTGGCTGTGAGGGTGGGATGACTGGGGATTTGCGTTAACAAGACAACCAGATGACAAGATTAGGATTCTTCACAATGCACTGAGATGAACAAAGACCCGAGTGTGTATTATTCTCACTCTGCTTTCTAATGTGCCCTTCTATGGAAGATGCCCTTTGCGATAGTGGCATGGAGGAGAGAAAGGGCATTGATCAGAGACAGGACTGACCAGGAAAAGAGAAAGGTGAGTAATGCAGCCTCTCTGACTATTCCACCTCCTCCCAATTTAAAAATAGCTCCATTTAATTTGACATGGTAACAGTCACAGAATTTCCACAGGGAGACATTTCTGAATGACTTGAAACAGGAGACCTTTCACAACCTGAGTCATAACCAGCGTCTGCTCCAAACTAGGCAGAGGTGGGCTAATTTTCCCCGTTTAATCGAATGAGTGAAATTGCGGCAGTCACATGGATCACTCCTGAGCCTCTACTTACCTTTGCATCCAATTTTTAGAGATTCACGAGTTCACACTGTAACTTAACAAAGTTGGCCTGTCAACTATCTCTTGTAAAGGTTTCTCCTCACCGGCAGCTTATAAAGCATTGGAGACTTGGTTGCTTTAGTCCGAGCTGCAGCTTAAATAGAAAAGTTGCAGGGTTTGAGGCTTTTAAACAGCTATTTGTAAAACTGACTGCCATGAATTTGGAACAGCGATTTCAGTATGTCTCAGCAGTTGCAATTATCTGGAAAAATAATGTGTGTATAAGGTATACAGTTGTTAAAGTACAGACTAGCTGACAAAGAAGTGATTATGAGATTCTTGTGAGTCACTAGTCTCCAAAAGTGGATCAAGTTGCACCCCTCATTACTTGCATTGCACAAACTGAAGCTCACCGTGTTATTTTTAAGAATTTGTCAAAGTTGCAAATTAATCGCCCATTAAACTTCTCACATAAAGATAAGCTGAGCAACAAGTAGTACAAGTACATTTTGGAAAATTTATTTGTTCACAGGATGTGGGCATTGCCAGTTAGGCCAGCATTTATTGCCCATCCCTAAACTACCCTTGAGAATGTGAACCACTGTAGTTCACATGGTATGGTACACCCACAGTGCTTTTAGGAAGAGTATGCAGGATATAGAGCCAGTAACAGGTGAGTTAGAGAATGGCAACATAACTCCAAGTAAGGATGGTGTGAGTATTGTTAATGATTTCCAGGCAACCACTCTGGTGCAGAAAGTGAACAATCTAAACTGGCATCCCACTAATTCAGTTAGTGAACCACTTTGGAGATTTTAGAACTGTCAAATTTTGCAAATTTTTTCGTTATATCCTTTTATTCCCTATCTCTCTCTTTCCCAATTTTTCTTTCCCCTGCTATATTTCTCCTTTTTTGTCTGATTTGACTTCAACTCACTCTGCTTTGCCATTGTTCCTTTGTAACATCCATTGTGTATGGGTACCTTCAAGTCCAAAGTGATAGAGTGTGGATTAGGATGTCTACCTTACTAGTCTAACCAGAGAATCTTGTTGAACAAACAAGACAAAGTTTATTGCATTACAGCCACTACTTACAACTTACATGCATATCTGCCACATTATAACGAAGACTATTAGGGGCACTCCAGCCCAAATCTGTCTCCTACATATTTCTTCTTTACCCTGACCAAATCCCTGTGACTTCAGCACAATGGATGGTTCTTATTAAAATTAATCACTTAACCTTTCAGACCAAATATAATAAGTCCCACCTGCTCCAGAGCATTTTATAAATGTTGTAGATCCATTTATTTAGTCCTACCCTGCCTGAGTATTATCTAAAGATATTTCTGTGCATCTCTCACAAGGAATAAAAATATAAATGTTTTATTGTGAATATCAATAGTACCATGCACCAAGTTATATATATATCATGCATAGGTTAACAAAAGGTTGATTAGAAAATATCTACAGTACCTACTGGAGGGCTCTTGTGGTGAAGTGGGAGTATCCTTACCTGAGAACCAGCAGGTCCCATCTGCTCCAAAAGGTATGTCATATCTATCTGATCAGGTTGATTAAAAACATCTACAATAACTACCAGGTCACCTAGTTATCCAGTTACTGTATTTATCAATTAATTCTGAACAAGTCACTCAGTCAGTAGAATAAAATTGACCAAATCACCTATTCACAGTATTGATACAGATTAATTTCCACACTGTGTGGGTAACCGTGTAAATCTCTCTCCAGGTAAACGTATGCGGGATACTCCTATCTTCAGATAGGTTCATGATGGCAAATGTAGGGCTAGTTTGTGGTTTATAACAGGTTCATGTTTAACAAAACATATAATTAAATTTGTTTGAATGATGTTGGGGAAAGCAGACATGCCTGACCTATTCTGCTGTGTGTTGTGTCTATGTGATCCATTTTTTGTACAGTATCTCACGAAACTGGAGATTTATCAGGCATCAACAGATGCCCTTAATTACTTTGCAGACAGAGTCTGTCAGCTCATGTGCTGTGTCTCAGGTGCTCAACATAGAATTAGTTCCTATCCAAATACCTTGTCCAGTTTTTCTACAGCTTGGTACATGGTACTGTTCAACTGCTGATATTCACAATACAACATTTTCTTTTTTATTCTTTGTGAGAGATGCACAGATGTCAGATAACAATCAGTAGGGCAGGACTAAATAAATGGATCTACAACATTTATAAAAGCCCCAAGGATATACCATCTCCAAATTTCAAACAGAGAATTTGAAACCCACCTCCAAACAATAAAACTTGAGTTAAAGCTGATTTGCTTTTCCAGGACATGATCAATCATGTTGTTCTGACATAGATCACAGCATTTTATAAATGCAGGCCATTCTGCCTATTGTACCTGTACTGTACTTCTGAAAGGGCAACTCTGCTCTTCCCATTCACAGTTTGAAAATATTCACCACTCTAAACTCCTCCCATTCTATTATTTCTGCACTTCTGATCATATGCAAAGTTTCTGATTATGTAGATAAATAAACTCTAAACCAAGTTAATTGCACTTCCAGAGCAACTAACAGAATTATTAGCATTTGACAAGGGTTATTGTACTTGAGGTTTTGGTATTGACCCTTCCACTCCTCATTGTCTGCCTAGAGCCATGAAACAGACTAATTTCTCCTTTTTAAAATATTTTTTATTGAATTATTGTGGAAGGAATGTTATTCTGAACTTTTTGTTTCTTTATTTCTTTAATTTATTACCATACTTTTGAAGGTCTGTAATGCTGGAAATTTTATTTCTTTATTTTTTCTTCTTTAAGTATTTGTACTCAAGAATCTGTACCTAGGTACCTTTGTACTCAGACAGCGCCGTAAGTGGCGACTTGTAAACATTTCACTGTACTCATGTTGAGTAGTTGTGATAGTAAAACTAAATTATTCAATTCATTCACTCACAGCTTCAACCGAGTGGGACTGGCAGTTCCTTTACTGCCAATGTCACAGAACAATCAATCAATAGGAGGGCATCTTCTCTCCCTGAGATCATTTTGTATGGAGTTAGCCTGTTCCTATATTTTCTAAATCAAACATTCCTCAATCATTCATTAGATTTATTTTCTTGTGAGGTTACATACAGATCTGCTTTGGAATAATAATTACACAACGAAGCCAGCATGAGCTAACAGGAACAGACAGAGTCTGTGACCTTTCAGAAACCAAGAGAGTATTTTACCATATTTGAAAATATGGAAGCATTTAGTTCTGCTTTCAAATTGTTTAACTATTATTAATGTTCACTGGGATTCTATTCTGGGGAAGTTATGATGTAATAAGACTGGAAAAGCATTGATCAGTTAATGTTACATGCACATTGCAAAGGATATGTGTAAGGCTTTTTCTTTCTATTTGGTAAATGGGTTCTAAAATTTGTGAGGTCAATTGGAAGGTCCCTGTAATTTCTTTCAGAGGCAAAACAAGAGCTAGCATGGGACATACGTTTTAACCATCCAGACACTGTATCCATGGTCAATTTATTTCAGGAATTTTGCCTGTGAAGCTGGCATTACGAAGAAAACTGACATTAGTTTGACTGTCCTCCATTGAATCTGGAAAATATAGCAGAGGTAGCACTGGTGGAATTTCACTAACTCTCTTCTCTGTCACTGATCTATAGTCCAGGTCTCACTACACTACAGGGGTGTGGTGCATTAGGCTTTTGTTAACTTGCTGAGGTCTTTACTGAGATCAAGCAGCCAATTACGATCATTTGTAGAAAACAGAGTTGATCTGGTGCTGCACCTCCCTCAACAATAGTGGCCTTTTGAGAAATGGAACCAAGGTGTGCTAAGTGCTCCCATCAATGGTGGCCTTTTGAGAGTGATGGGAATCAAGGTGTGGTAAGTGCTCAACATATACCAGAGTTTCTCCTTCAATATGTACAGAGGGTGGAATACTTGACTAGACAAGGGTTGACATCTG